GCCTGACTATGCTCAGCTTTATATAAGTTATATAACCAGTTTCTAGTTCAAGTAAAAAATTTCTGGCAATAATGTCCAAATGAATGGTCAACTAATTGATCAATATATAAATGATTAGCATTAGTAATGTCTCAACTATTTTTTAGAATATAGTTTGAGGTCCGTGGGGATTTATTTATTGCAATTTCAAGTTGTTATTCATCGAAGACTGACATCAGTTGGAGGAACAAAGGAAACCTGGGAGCACTGGACAGCTGTTTCGTCCAACTAGTATGGGACTCCTCGGCAGTGCACACCCACGACCCCACCAGCAGGGATCGAACCCGCGACCTTCAGGTTCCGTGGCCAGTACGTTATCATTAAGCCTCTGTGTCAGAACCCAATGCTCCATATTTCCAACTTCTGTTAGCTCACGCACGATATAGCGCGAACCGCCACCCAATGTCATCGTTGAGTATTTGTCCTTACGGCCATCAGGCTTTGACTCCACCGGTCACGACTTGTCATTGGAACTTCGGGAATACTTCTCGAAGCTAGTCACCAACGAGCACTAGTTCAATTAAATTTTGAGGGGGTTTTTATTTATTGGTTTTAACTTCACGGACTGACATCAGGACTGACTATCAAAAACCCATGAGCACACGACAGCTGATTAGTCCTAGTATAGGTTTCCACACTTGTATGAACCCGTGACCCCGCCTCACCAGGGATCAAACCCGGGTCTCTAGGTCCTGTATCACTCAGCCACTGAGTGGGAATCTAATGGCTCATATTTTCATAATTCTGTCATTTAGCGGTGTACAGTGCGATCTCCCTCCAATACTATCGTTGAGTAACTGCCCTTTTGTTTGACTCGGTTTCCCTCACTAGTGACAACCTTTCATCACAACTTCAGGCATTTCATCTTGAAGCAAGTCATTAATTTTCTGGTTAAGCTAGATCATTTCTTCAGTGTTATTTCTGGAGTCTAGTTTGGATCAATTAGCAATGCCAATTAATCAATACCGGAAAAGCATTAGAACGTAAAAGTAGGTTATCCAGATCATTCCCTTTTTAAACTAACCAAGTGAACTTCAAGTTTTCTAGTCAGAGCACTCTATGTCACTGGGATGTTTATCTGATTAGAAAAGTATACCCCACGAAATTTCTACTTTAAACACACATACATGTGTACCTAAACAGAAGTATCTGCATTGCTAGACATTCAAGTGTTTTAAAGACTTTTCTGTTCATAAATATCTGCTTTGATGACACAAAGTCTCTAATGTAATGTTATAATTATAGCTAGACTAGTCAGTAAGAAAAAGAAAAAAGTTGATCTTGCCTTTTCATGATAAATTGACTGTTACCTAAATTATTGATAGCGAGAGTGTGTATCATTTCAGTTTTCTGTTTCATTATTTCATTGACATCGCTGAGAATTCCAAATTGTACCACAAATTGTTTGGAATAAAGTGAAAGTGAATTTGCAAATAAAACTGAAGTGAATTTCTATTTACCAGAACTGTTTAGTCTCAGTTTATTGGTCAGTTGTTTCATAAATTGATGGTGTTGTAATTGGCAGCCCTTCTAGCCATCTGTATGCCGACTTGTTTATTGCGGGTCCTTAGTCTAGTTGCCTGAAGCAATGCATACAGCAGACAGAAATAGATGAAGGAAGTATACATAAATGTTTGAGTGTCTCTAAGAGGAAACTAGAGGTGGAAGTAACGTTAAGGGAGTTCAACTCATCCCATCCGAATCTTACTTATGCATTGGAGCACGAAGAGAATGACACAATCAGGTTCTTAGGTATCTCACTAATGAAAACAACTGACACCTCTAGAAAGACCCATACGAAGAAAGCTGTAGTGGATGAGATGGTATTACCACTTTAAAAGCTTTGCTCCGATTGAATACGGAAAGAATTTAGTTGAAATTCTGTTTGACAGGGATCCAAAACCTTTTGTATGACAGTATAACAGAATATGAAAATAGTCTAAAAAACATTCTATCTGAAAATAAACATACTTAAAGGTTCATCAGCAACTAAGCCAAAAGTATGGAAAGAAGCTTTACAGTCTTTGCAGCTCAAGGAACTCAGTGTACGCCTACCTTTTCAAGAAGACGACTTACATGATGCAACTTAGAAGAGACACAACACTGTCATAAGATGAACCTACTGTGCTGCGATATTTATGTTTCTTAGCACCATAAAGTGGGTATCACAATATTCTTAGAAGGAAGAAATGCTTATCCTTAACACTTCTAACTGCATATCAGCACAAAAAGGTGCCCGGCTAATCATATGGTAAAGCACTTGAGCAAATGGTTAGGCTGTTATGCAGTAAAGATTTCGAAAAGCTTAATAACCCAAAATTTATGAGACTATAAACATAATATCGAATCTGTCAATCCGTTCACAACAGTCTGAAGACAACAGATTAAGAAATAGCTGCAACCACAGAAACCAGGGGATTTGGGTGCACAAGCCAACACCCTAAGTGTAGAAAGAAATGGTGGTTACTCTAAATTTTTCTTTTTTAGTCAATATTCATACACTCTTCAACCCTTTTAGTCTGCCAACTCAACAATGAACATGACTTCCTGCTGATTTACTTCAACCAACTAACGTCCAAAAACGCACCACGATTGTGAAATTTATAGCGTGGTGGCCACTTCGCAGAAGTGATCGATAGAATTCGGCTAGTACTTAGGACTAGGTAAGACGAAATAGGTTTCTCTCCAGTCACCAATTAATGTACTGTTGGAATTTTTGAAAATGTTGCTCAACCTTATTTCTTACACTAGTTTTCAGTGAATATGCTCATCTCTCCCTGGATCACACCAAGGTATATATAATTGAGGATGTAGTTTTCAGCTGAGGAGTTCTACCGAAACTCATAAATTCAGTGTATCTTGGTTACTTGTTTGAAGGGGATTTGTCTAATTTGAGCATATTCATGGAAAAACTCGATAGCCTTCTCAAATTTTCTGACCACTGAAAAATTCACCGTTAACAATGATAGCACATAATTACACGCTGAGTGAATCTGGTCTCAACAACAACAAGGACAAAATTTATGGCTTTTGAAGTGAGTAGTAAGGATTCTAATTTGTTAAGGGCTCTGTAATTACTCCATACTGATATCTCTAGCAAGCACAAAACTTAACAGAGGGTCATCTTGGTGGATATCATCAACAATCATGCGTCAAAATGTTTAATTTGATGGTCTTAATCGCTTACTATAAGGCAATATAAAAACAATACTTCATAGGGGACAGTAAAGAGCTGAATTGTTGTTATTTAGGCCTCCATAACAGTAGGGATTCATAACGCTACAGAAGATACAGCGAGAAAACTTCAGTCAGTTCTCTACATACTATGACTATCACTTAATGTCGTTGCTAATTTTCAGTCCTAACTTAAAGTATAGTTGACTCCAAAGGTTAGAGCTTTTAAGTATAAATTTTGTCCATCCATTTTAAAGAAAGTCATTAGTTGTAACTAAGTAGGTGTTCAGTTGTAATTTAAGGTGACCAGACCAAGAAGTAGTAGCAGTTAGTTAAGTCTCAGATTGTTAATCTGAGTCATATAGGAAGGTGTAGTCTATCTGATTGTGATCTTTGAGACCAAAAGGATCAGTGGTTGGACACTGTTGCTGACATGACTGAAAATCGATCACAATGGCGGAGATGTGTTCAGTCATTGATGTCTTGTAAAGCTTGAATGTTTTGAATAACCTTAGCTTATAAATTCCTTCTCCTCCCATAAACCTTCACCTACTTTGATTTCAGTCTTTTTCTGTCCACTTAGTCTTTGGATGCTTGTATGAAGTGTGGTAAGTTGGACCTATACACACGTGTGCTAGGTTCTACTTTGATTTTGTCTGTATGTAACAACCAACACTGCAGAAATTAGTAAGCACCAGGTAAATCTGTCTACTATTTTGGTTTGTTTGAGCTGAAATGTGTGTATCTGGTTGACACTTCAAGACACTGTTTTACATAACTTCAGATTAACTGTTGGGTGAAAACGCTGATAAGGGTAAGTTTTCTGTACACTTTGAGTGGCAGTTTACCAATGTTTGGGATGTGTTTCTCATCACCCACATCCAAATTGTTGCTCCACGACTAGTCTTTTTTAATGCCCCGGCTAACAACAGAGAGGTAAGTTGTTGAGTGTGTTGATCACTTCACCTATCTGGGAAGTTAGATCAGCCCTGGGGAGCCAGTGGCCTTCGAAATCTCTGCATGGATGCAAAATTACAGATTGATTTTTGCCAACTTACACAATCTGTGGCACCATCATGGTATCTGATTGTCTATTATGCTTTGAGTGCACTGCCCTGTAGTTTTCTATGTCCTACTGTATGGGTATGAAACATGGCTATTGCAGTTAGAGGATGCGAAGAGCGTTCAGGTGTTCGGTCATAGTTGAATACGTCACATAAGCCTTACTGTAAGGTGAGACCATGAACAGAGATAAGTAAGCTGATGGAGTCCTGAACACTCACAGACTGAGATGGTTGGGACGTGTGTTATGTATGTCTAACCACCGTCTGCCTCATCGCGCAATGTTGGTAGAGATAGGTTTAGACTGAAAAAAGGCTTGGGATGGCCAAACTAAAACATGACATCACTACATGAAGTTCTTGACTGTTGTTTCGAGCCATATCGGAAGATACGAACTAGCCGGTCAGCGTCCATGTGACAACAGAAACTAATGGGAAGAGACTCTAGGTGATATGGCTCAGATGCATCCACATCTTTTTTTTCACATTCCTCTTTCTTCTCTTTTACTGCTTTTGACCGATTTTCTTTTCTTGTTCATGTTTCATGCTACTACTTTGTTACTTATTGTGCTGATATGATGTGTGACAACTTGAAAGATTGTACAGTAATACCTGATCCCTTGTTGATATTGATGACGATGACTCATTAGAGAAATTATACTTCTGAGCATAAATATTATTAATTTGTAAATAGGATTATTCAAATAATACTTTTCAATCGCTCACCCGGTACAATATCACCAAATCCAATAGTTGATAATGTCACAAAACAAAAATATGACCATTTTAAATAATCTGTTGATTCCCAGAAACAAAATACAGCTGCACCTAATAAAATATAAACTGTCATCATAAGAATAGTTAGAGTTAATGGGACTGTCTTTGACTTTTCTAATGATGATTGATTTGATTCATTCATTGAAGTATTGCATATATCTAAATCATTTTGTTGTTTAAACTGTTGACTTGTTTTTAATAAATTCATTGATGTTATTGGCAAGTCAAGGTTACTAGCAATTAATCCTTTTGATGACTGATCATGCATTGAATGCGCTGTATTCGAATAGTAACTAGATAAATTAAAACTTTCCATTGGTGTATACTGTCTTAAATGAGGATTGAATGCAGATATTTCATTTAGATCAAGTAAATGAGGTGGGCAATATTGTGTTTTTAAATAAGGTGATGTAGATGTTACATGTTCCATTAAATAGTCTTGTTTAATGGAAGATAATATAGATGAAGAGGTTTGTGATTGTTTACCATTCCATAGCATATGCTGTTGATCAGTATCAGAAAGATTTAAGTTTTCACTTTGATTGGGATTAGTAGTACTCGTACTAAGATATGGTTGATGCAAGTAATTGCTGTTGATAGTGATACTGCTACTACTACTACTATTACAAGTATTATGAGTAGTATTACCTAGTGTACGCTTATATCTTTCATATTTAGGTGCATAGGGTGATTGGGAATTATTTCCACAAATGTGAATATTATCGTTTTGTGACAATTTGAATTCTTTTTTCAACTTTTTATGACTTAATTGTTTAAAACACTTTTTAAAACACTTTTTACATTGAACAAGTGCTGGTTGACAGATACGTACATAGAATACTTGAAATATTGATGCCATATAGTTTCCACTGTTTGATAGGTAACAAAAAAATAATGGTATGCCAAATAATGCATACATCATTGTCAGAAATTTTCCTAAAGATGTATGAGGTGTAACATGTCCATAGCCTAGAAAAAAAAAGAAGAAGAAGGAAATGATAAACAAAACAACAAAAGTACAATTGTTAAATGAAGTGCTGATTTTAAGTAGATGGGTATCATGAATATTCATTAGCTGAAGAACTATCAATTTTGTATTTCTTCACCAGTGTGCTCTTTCAAACCTCTTAATTATTATAATTATTGATTTCAGGTTTGCATTCATAATGGACTGATATCAGTTGGAGAAAAATTGAAAACCTGGGAGCACAAGACAGCTATTTCATCCCAGTTTGGGACTCTTCAGTAGTGCTCACCTCAAACACTACCAGAGAGGAGTCACATACTAGAACGAAACAGCTTTCAAGTGCTCCCAGATTTCCAATGTTCCTCTAACTAATGTCAATCAATAATGAATACCAACATCCAATCAATCAATAAATCCTCACAAACCTTGAAATTGTATTATAATTATTAGTTGAAATGAAAGACTTGTTCTCAGAAATGATCCCTTAGCCAGACATGATTTAAAAACAGTAAGAGGTGATCTTTGAGATAATCTGAGCAAAGAATCCTGATGTGTTGAAAATGGAAGACAATTAAGCAGTACTACAAATAGTTTGAAATGAGAAACTTGTAACCCAGTGACTCAAAAGTAAACTCCTTGACATTAGAATCAAATTACTTCAGAGGCTGTTTTCAATTCCATGAAGTTGTCTTCTTCGATTATACTTTCTCTACTTTACTATCGTCTGTGTTATTATTATTATTATTATTAAAGGGCAAGTGACTGCACTTAAACAGAGTAGACTTTAGGTCATCAGTTCAATGGGCATGTAGACTAACTACATGCATAAATTACCTCCACTTCACTCAGGAAACAATCACATGATAAAGGCACACTGGTTATTACAGTATGATATCAGTCCTTCATTTTACTTGTGTCATTGTAGTTGATTTGAAGCGAAGTGAAAAGTCCTAACTGACTAACGAATGCAATGTGAGTATGGGAGTCTATCAGAAGTTACTGCTTGTAGCTTAGAAAGTAGATTGCTTCACTAATACGCAGCAGAAGACTAGCTCAAACTCCCGTGAGAAGTGAATTAAATTCTATATGTCTGTTTCCCTACATATGTGTCTATCAAGAATACAGGTGATTTTGTTTAGAAGTTGAGGTGTTATCGTGAACTCGTAAGTTCTATCCAGCCCTTTACAGTTCGTGTGGCTTTTCTTGGCTTTTTATAGTTTCCCAGGTTGACTAAGTGTCTCCAGCCATGAGAATGGCTTCTACTTGGGTGCATACACATGAAAATGGTTTACACAACAGGATGTACAATCTTAATAACGGAGAAGGCGTCAAAGTCATATGTATCTACCGTTACCTCTTTATTAGGGACGGCAGCGAGTGCCCAATTCAGGTTATCCCGCTAAGGTAGGGCATATCTCACACTCACCACTCTACTATTATCAAACCTTCTCCAACCTCGACTAGATGGTGGCACTTAGGTATTCCAGCTCTTTATGCCTGCGTGGTTAGTCGACAAGTTACCAGGTTGGGAAGTCAGTCAGCGACTGCTTCGGAAACTCAGTACTACATTTATGAAGTAATCAGGTTGTATAGGATTTGCTGAATGAACAAATAAAAGTTGTGGTTTTGTGCCTCAAAAATATCAGCGCCCGACTTCCGGGAACCAGGTCATGAGTTCAGGTCATGCTCTTCATACTAAGGTTTAGACAACTAGGTATTACCATTTGGCGTCGCTCAATAGGTATGATTAATAGTCTGTTGTTCAAAACTTGTCTGTGGTTGCTCAGTTTCAGTATTCCATGAAGTACTCTTTATGAGACTGAGATATGTGTGATTTGGCGAATTGGCATTGTTGAAACTGGTTGTTGATTTTAAGTAAAAACGAGGAGGGGATTCATGACAGAATTCAAACTAGTGGCCTATACACATCGGCTCAGCCTTCTACTGGCTAAGAATCTGTGCGGAATGCAAATCGTTGACATACATACAAACACACAAAACAGGGATCACGTTACGTCTATCAGTAACTTGTGAGACACTATGCTATGTTGAGCTAAAAATGTAGAATGAAAGAAGGATAACTACAAAGTGATCTTTAGCGACAAACTGAAGGTAAGTAGCTGTGCAGCTAGGGAATTTAAACTACTGGAAGTCAACTTCAGCTTCCTAGACAATATTTTTCAAGAATTATTTCTCATGATATGAACGAATACTGAAAACCAATAATTTCACCAATAACCATTTATGATATATTAAAAAAAGTGATACCATCAATTATTTTATATTTCAACGGATTTTTTTCGTTACTTCTGAGAAAGATTTACAAATAGAAAAGCTTACAGAAGTGTACTTTTTTACGCCACAAGTGTATCCATGCAAGATTCGGATAACAAGCAATCACTGTTGCCAAATAGTGTTAAAAACATTTTATCTGACATTTTTGACACTTGGATTAAATAGACAGGTAGCATTAAGTTATGTTACGCTATTCGATCTGAAATAAACATTGAAATAACCTTATAACAGCTACACTAAAAAAAACTATTCCACTTATAGGTTACCTTAGGATTATTCAAAAGGAACAGGCTACTTTCAATTGAAGGTTAGTGTTGGACTGTGCAGATTTCGACAGTTTCTTTTCACTAACGAGATTTCTCACTATCTATTTAAAGACAAGCATTAGGTGTAACACTTTGAGTCTTGATGGGAACAATATTGCTCACTGAAAGAAAGCTACATCCAACCGATGAGTTTAAAATGGTATGAAATGCGCTTCCCGGATTCCACCACTAGTCACTAACCATCAACACTATATTTTTCCTTCATCTTCATTTTATTTCTTTCACACTTCTGTTAATGATTTAGTTAGACTCATTCCAAGCATTTATGTGACCACTTTGTTTACAGTATGTTTCTAAAGTGCATTTTGTATTTTTTGGTCAGACTTCATCATCTAATGGTATCGATAAGAGATTGAAAATTGTTAGGCACCCCCAGGATTTAACTCAACTACTCGTTCTATCTTTCTTTGGATTTGGATTGAGTGTTTTGGCAATTTTTATTACTGTAGGTTGGTTATTATCTTATTTCTCGAAAATGATCTCTTTATTATCTAGTCTCACTTTCACTAATTTCAATACTGTTAAATTTGGGTGCTGTTGAGTTTATTGGGACATATATACATGCAGATGTTCTGACTTGGTTTTGGTCATTTACTGAGGTAATAGGTAATCTGGGTTTAGGAGTTCCTGCCTACTGCATTCAACCAACTAATATTCATTAAAGTTCATCTCAATGCTGAGCCTCCTAGCTTAAAGATTACGTAGCAAGAAGATCGATAGAATTCCACCAGGATCCAGGAATAAACAAGGTAAAATTGGTTGCTCTCTGGTAACCAACCACAGTATCTAATCCAGTTCCGTACGAAGACTATCGTGGTCCAAATAGATAAGTGGTAATGTCACTGACTGCAACACTAGCTGATGTAGGTTTGAATCATAGAGAGGACTTAAGTTCCTTCAGAGTCGCAGATCCACGTTGATGATGATTGCCAAGAAACATGAAACCTAGATCAGGGACTGCTTTCTTCCATTTGTCTCTCATCAACTAATATCTATTCCAGTGCATCTTGATAGCAAATCTTTTAACTAAATGGCCTCATTACAAAATGATCACTAGAAGTCGGTCGTTACTCCGAACTGAACAGTATGAAATTAGTTACTTTTCAGTAAAAAAGATTCTTTGTTCAAACCTGTACACTTATTTCACCATTTATAGTATATGTTGTATTTATTCACAAGAGTGATTTAATAGCTTTACTGTTCGCTCGTATCTGAAAATATATCCAAGTGGTAACCAGACAAAATGGCCCATTTACATTTTTCAGTAGTTATTTATTTTTACTGAATACTTTAGTTGTAGATTTGATCAGACTTTGAGATTAATGTGCGAGAGATAATCGTCTATATTCTCGACTAGATGGTTTCTAGGGTAAATGATTGAAGTCATAAAGCTTAGACATATGATTAGTCAGTGAGAATATTTGTTGCCGATTGTTTTAAACTTACTTTATGCAGAAGATAAAAATATATTCATATTGAAACATCGAAAAACTGATTACTATGAAAAACTATCTAAGCGGAGCGTTGCCAAATGTATTCAAAATCCACTTATTGCATCACTAAAATTGAGTCAAGCTTTCACTGAATATGAACACATGATATTTATAATCTGTGTACAAGTATGATATGAACAAGCTTTGATTGCTCATACACATTAACTAATCTATCTTAAACTTTTATGAGATAACCTACCTGGAAATGGATGGAAAAAAACCTAAGGCAGTCTTGTGATTGCGTTAATTATGATATTACTATTATCAATGCTTATACTAACTGATACTCGTCAATTATTTGGTCATTTAGTGATATGGTATTCCAAGTGAGTTGTTCTATGCGCTTAGGTTTTACTAGGCAAACGTTTCAGTGTCACGCTAGACATCACTTCCAATGCACAGGAACTAAGATGACAGTGGGAAGTTTGTCAACTGGAACCGTAACTCAGATAATAACTAACTCTGAAAATTCATACCCTGAGCTATAAAAATTGGTCACAATTCCTAGATAGTATGGTAGTTGAGATATTTCTTTGATTGTGGTGTCTTAAACCAGCTTGATTGATAGATCACAATGACAGAAATTGGTGAAATCTCTGTTTTCATTTGAAGTGTGGCTTTGATTTTATCTCATCTACGAACTGCAGATAATCCATAACTTCTTTTGTAATTTATTCCTATATTTCTAAGATTGTTTCTGTAACGCATTCCAGTAGCGTTTTTCAAATCTAAGTAAGCTGGATATTACAAAAAAGATTAATTTCCAGCCGAAAGTTCACTATATTTTTCTTTATTCTTCTGAGTTTGGGGATATGAAACCAATATTGTCAACAAAAAAATCTTTTCACTTTGCACGTTTATAGGGATTTATTGACTTCCTCCGAGTGA